TTGCCAGCGGAACCATGGCGGCCGAATGCCCCGGGCCGGCCGCTTGTTCGCGCCGAGTTTCGTTTCTGTTTCTCCCACTTGCTGCGTAGGAAACGCCGTCGCCCGGTGGCAACCAGAACTAACATGTGGCGCCGGGAATGGATGCGCAACTGGATTGCAATGATGCGCTCAGCAATGCGCGCGCAACAATCGAAAACCCCAATCTGTTGAAGACGGCCAGCCCGGTATCCTTGCTTGGAGTCGCCGTCCCCGCGGGCGGGCATTCCCATATCGGTGCAGCCAGTGGACGGCAGCTCGGGTCGTGATTGGAGGCTTTGACGCTGCGCAACCAAAGCCATGCCGCCGCTTGCAAACAACTACCGCCCACCCATACATCATCGCCTCACTGCCACCCGCCGCCCTCTCCCTTCGCTCTCGACACATACCATCCACCTCACCTCCCCCCTCTACCCCAAACTCAAAACCACCCCGACTCCCGCCCTCGCCTGCGCGATGCACAAGTGATCCACTCACCGCCCGCTGCCTCCTTTCCGGTTCCCTCCTCCCGTCGCTCCGCGCCTCCGCTCTCTCCACCATCCGCAAACCTGGCTGAGTACGCCCTCTCACCTCAGCCCATGTCATGGCTTGCACTAACTCGCCACTAGCTACTTCTTCACCGTCGGCGGCTGGGGCCATGGAGGAGCCCTTTCCTCTCGCCTATCTGCCCAGCGACGTCCTGTTACACCAACATCCAAACCTCCGTCGTCCAACACCGGCGCCATGAAGGCCCTCACAAAATCCACGAGCACCCCCCACCTGCCTCGCAGCGTCCCTTCGCCCGGCGGCTCGACTCATCTCTCGCGTCCCGAGTCAGGCCTCCTCAACACCATTCCAGACCCGCGCACGCCCTCGCCGAGCAGGCGCCCGGCCACGGCCTCGGAGCGTCCCTTTACGCCGAACCAGCACCCCGACTTGAGCAACGAGGTGGCTGCCCTCAGCACCAAACTAATCAATGCCATCAACCACCAGACGAATCTCGACGACAATCTGCAGGCTGCCCGCCATGAATTGCAAGAGGCATACACGCGCATCGCCCAGCTCGAGGTCGAGGCCAAGGAGCGCCAGCGCCAGATGCGCGCCATGGTCAAAAAGGAAGAGTATGATCGCATGGAAAAGCAGCTGCGCAAAGAAATCGAAGCCGAGCGGAAGTCTCGACTGGCCGCCGACAGGGAGCGCAAACGAATGGAGAACGAGCTCGAAACGCTGACGACTGCTCTTTTCGAAGAGGCCAATACGGTATGTTGTCTCTTTGTACTCTCTCTCCTACATGGTCTGACTGTTGTAGATGGTCGCAGCCGCTCGCAAAGAGACCGAAGCATCCGAGAAGCGGGTTGAGCACTACAAAGCCCAAGTCCAGGATACGAATCAACTCTTGGCCTCTCAGCAAGAACAACTGCAGGACCTTAAGCGGGTCATGGCTCAAATGACCGCCGAACAGGACGAAAAGGACACCACGTCGTCAATCACCGACATCTCAACACCTGCCATTGCTCTATCGGAACGGGCAAGCCGCAACTTTGAACAGGCCAGCATCCGAAGCTCACCAGACATGTCAAACGGAGAAATGGAGCCGCTTCACCCTCTGGCCTTTGCGCACCTCATCAGTCCGGTCCTGCGCACGGATATCCAGGCGTACAATGAGTTTCAAGAGTTGTTGAAGACGGCCAAGACACAATCGTCAGCCCCGAACTCCCGTGCCGCGTCCGGAAACTACGGCGGCCTCAACGTCATGGGTCTTGGATCCCTGGCCAACCTGTCAACGGCCAGCCTGAACACGCCCCAATCCAGTTCCGAATCGTCTCTGCCCGGATCAGCTTCTCCAAAGCCCGAGGCGACAATTCTGCCGGGACTCAAGGAGCTCAAGTTCTACAAGCGCGCCTTGACAGAAGACATTGAGCCTACTCTCCGCCTCGACAGTGCGCCAGGTCTGTCGTGGTTGGCGCGCCGCTCGGTACTCAGCGCCATGACTGCCGGGTCGTTGACGATTGAACCACAACCGCACGTGGCATTCTACCGGGGCCCGGTTTTTGCCTGCAGTCTGTGCGGAGAGTGTCGCGTTTCTCGGGTCAAGGACAAGGCTGGCCAAGATCCATATGCAAGGAAACACCGCTTCCGGACATCCGATGAAAGAGATGCCCAGCGCTACCCGCTGTGCGACTTTTGCCTGTCGCGCGTTCGGAGTTGCTGCGACTACATTGCCTTTTTGCGCATGTGCCGAGATGGCCACTGGCGAGCCGAGAATGGCGATGAAGAAAAGAGTGCTTGGGAAGAGGCGGTAAAGCTCAGGGAACGCATGTTCTGGGCCAGACTTGGCGGTGGCGTCGTCCCCAACTACTCGTTGACCAGTGGCGGTGACAAGGAGGCCAGTCCAAGGAGCCCGTTCGTCCAGCGGAGGCGGAGCAAGGCAGAAAGCTCGCAGCTGCCCAGGAGGAGCCTCGAGAGTGAGTTTACTTCTCATGAGCAGGGTCCCAATGGCAATCACATGGGAAAAGAAGGCGAAGCCATCGACGCACACGACGTATTTCAGGATGCCCATGAGAAGCACCGTTTGACTTTTGACAAGACCATCGTCACGGACCATGCCGCACCCCTCATCCACCATGAGCAAAAGCAGGACTCAGCCATTGCCCTGGACTCGGACGACGAACGGCGCATCGAAGCGCAAGCCGCTAAGCAATTGGAAAACGAGACGTTGCGACGATCCCAGGACCTCCACGCACAAAAGCATGGCCCCAAGGCAGTCGAGCATGTCGAGCGCGTTTCGACCGACAGCGACCGACCGATGACACCAGATCAAAAGGCCAAGAGGCGGTCGGCAGCACCTTCGATGCCCGGCGGGTTTGAGTGAGGACGCTTCTTTTTTCCACGACTATGACTGGTCCACGACCAACGGATGCCATGGAGCTAACGTCGACTGCCTGCCACGGACACAGCTTCGCGCCCTTTGTGGTCTCTCTCGGTATTATGTCTCTCTGAAGATGATTACGACTTGCCGCACGCCAACGACTCGACGGTCCGGAATGACCAAACCAAGACAAGACGCCGCCGCCGCCGCCGCCGCCGCACCACCGCCTCCAACTTTTACCCCTCTACCACCTACCTACCTGACTTGTTCATAATTACGGCCGACATTTTTTAACCATCCTTGATCATTTAGCGTCCACCGTCTTTACCTCGACTCATCCATATTCGCCCATTACGGCCGGGCTGTCGCTCATTGCATAAGTGTTGAAGAAGCGCGTCTTTTTTTCTTTTGTTGCCAAGCAAGCGACGCTTCGGATTCCCCCACCTCTTGTTCTTTTGGATTCTGCTTTTCGTCAAGATGAGCGCTTTGAGCGGTTCTCGCTCTTGATCTTTTGGGATGAGGGAAAAGAGGTTGAAAGAAAGGGGCGTCTACTCTAGGCCCCTATCCTCTTCTTTTCTGCCTCGTTGATCCTTTTCTCGTTTCGTTTTTGAGTGCTTTTTTGCGGACGCTCCGCACTCCGATTGGAGCGTTCTCTCTCTCGGTAATGGAATTGTAATGATGCGTACCTACCAGTACACTCTATGTAGTAGTCGAGCCCCTTCTCGTCTTTTTGTTTTTTGTTTCTGCTTGGTAGATGGGGCTTCCTTTTTTTCCTTGACCTCTTGCTTTTCGTTTGACGCGGGTTTCTCTTCTTTTTTTTTCCGCGTCTGTCTGCCAGGGCTTCGTTTGCTAATATGCCGGTGAAGCGACGTGGGAGGAAAAAATTTCTTCTGTCGAGTTTTTTTCATTGTTGGGATTGTTCGTACTGCGGTGATGGATGCGGATAGTAATAGTATTGTCGCGGAGGGGCAAAGGAGGAAGAAGCGATGGCGTGTGTCGATTGTCCAAATTCATGAGGAAGAGATGACATGAGTTGTTGGGTGGTAGTGGTGCGGATCGGGGGGATTGGGGATTGGTAGTAGATGAAATGTCGAGAGGTGTGTGTAAAGTGGCTTTGCAAAGGAACAGGAGTACTACTTGTGGCTACTATGATGCGGGTGGATGATGAAGACAAGAGCAATGATGGGGACTGCTGCCATGGATGGATATGTTTTAGATGCTCTGGCAATGTAGACGGTTGAAGTCTGCGTCGTTCCCACCCCCGCCCTGCACACGCACTGACAAGAGGTGCCGCTGCTCTTGACATTGAAAACCTTTGACCATGGCAATACAACTGGCTCGCTTGCACCCACCTCAATCCAACTAAAGCATGTCGAGAAAACTAAAGGGTCCGGAAGCGAGCAAAACGCAGGGCAAATTGTCAAAGGGAGGGAGGGAGGGTAGGTTAACCTGGGGTGTTTAGAGCTTAGCACGGGAGCGAGGGCCGTCTGATTGGTCGCTGTGCTAACTTTGAACGTCGGAGTGAAAGTGCCACCGGGGGTAGTTTTGGCGGGTCTGTGCGTCGTGGTCTGCTGTCTGCTGGTGTAGTACTCGTCCAACGCCTGCTGCCTCCCCCCCTGCTCCTCCTCCCCTTCCTTATCACCACCAACACCATCCATGAGCCAGCCCCTCACCTCATCAGCGCACGCGATACAATACACGCCAGTTGCCCCCAATGCCGTGATGAGCGTCAAAAAGTGGGGCGAATGCCACGGCGTGCGGTTGGTCGTTATTGGCTCAACGCATTCCGTCCCTCTCGTCTCATTGCATTCCAGCCCGTCCGTCGAGCGTAGGTGTAGTGCTGCTGGTTGTTATTCGCTGTCCATCGTAGTCGATGTGGCGCTGCTGCGTGTTGTGTGTTGGAAATAGTCGCGGACCAGATGTGGCGGATAAAAGCGCCGACAAAACAAATGCGCCATCTCGATCAACCATCCTCAGCATCTTCTCCAAGGACACGGAGAAGACACCTCTCGCTACCGCAGACTCGCAGGCGCGTTAGTGGTCAGGCAGGAAGAAGCCCTGGCTGGGTACTCCGTATGAGAGAGGGTGACAAAAGCAAAAGGCAAAAAGGAGAGAAGGGCCCTGCCGCGATTCGAACGCGGGGCCTCTCGCAGATTAGGTGAAGCAACCCAAAGCGAGAATCATACCACTAGACCACAAGGCCTTCATGAAAAGAATTGGGAAATACTGTCGTTATGAATATCAAGCTGTGGGCTGCTGCCCTGATGATGCGTGGGAGAGGGGGTTGAGAGGCTCTGTTAGGGAGCGATTGCATAGGATGAGTGCAGTTCCTTTGTGGTTTTATGGGCTACTTTGTGGTGGGAGAGCAGTGTAGGAGGTTGGGAAGTATTTTGGATGTGTCTAGATGCTGTTGTATGGCAGCGTTTTGGGTTGTGTTTTCTTTAGTGCAACTTGGTCGATTGTTGTCAATTTCCCCCCCGCAAAGTCAAGCACAAAAACCTCAACCGTCTCTCAATTTCGTCAATCATTCAACACCCAGATCTCGTACAAAACATCATCGTAGCGTTCTACATTCAGTCCGTTCACAGCCCCCCTGCCCGCATCTCTAAGCACCCGAGCGCTTCTCATCCACCACCTCCCTCTCTCTCCCTCCCTTCTCACTAAAATCCAAGTCCCACACCACGCTCACCTCACCATCATCTTCAACGGCAGCCCCGTAGACCGCAAAAATTCCGCTCCCATCGCCAAGTCGCGCGCACCCTTCCGCGTCCCGTCCGCCAACGCGCTCCGCGCAGCGAACTCCGCTCAGCCGCGCATCGACCCTCGCATCCACGCCACCGCGTCCAGAGGTCCCAGCAGCCTGGGTCCGCACATTGTATAGCGCGGAGAACGGGGTTGCGCGAACCGAACCGAAGCGGTTACAGTTGAGCCGCGGTAGCACCTTACCTTACCTCGCCATGCGCTGCCCGCGCGTCGCTGTTGGCTATCTGCCGCGCGAGAAACGTGCGTAGGCTCCGCGTACCTGGTAGATATGGGATGTGGGTTTACGAGATAGCTAGATAGGTGGATACGGGGTCGAAGGTGCTCGTCTCGGGGGTTGTGGCTTTTTTGGCTGTCGCCTCGGTTGCGTTTGCGTCCCGGCTTGATGGTTTTGCATGGCTGTGGGCTTGGTGGGGGGCTGTTTTGGGGCTTCTGTGCTAGTGGGCGTGTATGGCGGCGGCGGTGGTGATAGGGGTGGGAGTGGCAGTTGTGTCGAGCGCGAGACAGGCGAAGATGAAAGTGTGCCGCGGAGGTGAGTGTCGATTGAGACGGTGGCTTGGTTGTGTATTTGCGGGTTTGCCTTTGAGATGCACATTCTGGAATCTGCGTGGTCAAAGCTGTCTTCAGGACGACGGATGGAGTAGAAACAGGGGGAAATATCAACAGACTCTGTACTATTGTATACACTTGGTTACAGGATGCCAGAAACGTCTAGCGGGCAGCAAAGAACATGGGTCGTGAATGTGCAAAAGGGGTCATGAGTGTCGTGATACAGGAAATGCAAGCATCTACATGTACGCGATGGAAATGACAGAATGCTATGACTTGGAATGTTCGTGATCAAGTTTCTTTCCATCAACCGGGAACTTCCTCTTTCTCGACGTCAGTCTCCTCTTCGACAAGAGTCTCGCCTCTCTCGACGTCGGTCTCCTGCGAAGGTCTTCTTTCCCTAATGGCCCGTCTGGTGGTCGAATCGGCCGGCTCACTATGCACCGTCACCGTCGTCTCCAGCTTGACAGATAACGAGTCCTTGCTCCCCTTGTGGCGGAGCTGCGCCCAAAAAGAGTGGTCCTGCGATTTGCCGCCGCGCGCAAAAAAGAGCTCCAAGCTATCCTTTCTGCGCATGGTCGAAAACTGCAGTCCACCGAGCCCAACGCGACTACTGTGGTTGAGAACCGAACACGGCCGCGTGGCTTCGATCGTGGTGACAGTTCCGAGGCGATTCTTGTTCTTTGCCAGGGGAAAGGTCGAGTGAAACGTGTCAATGGCTTGGTCTGCGGGTTGCGTTTGGATCTGGTTTTTGGGAGCGTCGCCGAAGAGCAGCACGCGGCGCGTCAGGAAGTAGACGAGCACGTCGATCCAGCCGTTGCTAGTGATCAAGGCCCCGCCGAGGCAAAAGTGGGCGTAGCCGACTGAATGGCCCATGAAGCTAGCTACGCGGGCGTACACCAAGGGGAAAGTGCACACCACGTGGACAGCGGGATAAATAACCATGAGGTGAGTAACGCGTCTTAGGTGCCGTGCCGAGTGCGAAAGGCAATGGCCTCGTTTGATGCGGTAATGTAGAGTGACAAAGAGTGTTGCGTAGAGAACGACCGAGCCGAATTCAGCCATCATGATGTATAGGTAGTGGGAATAGAGGCGTAGTCCTTCGTACTCTTCACTGATCCAGCACTAGAAAGTGTCAGTCATCTGACGAGAGCGAAGTGGTCATGACTTACCCAGGCCCCAGCGCGAACGTAGAGATGATGCGGATGCATTGCAATGGGAATAAAGGATGCAACATAGACCAGCACCCAGTTGACAATTGCCCAACACGTAAAGACGAGCGGACTGATCTTGTAGTTGAGAGCAAGTGAAACAAACGTGTGGACACCAATTGAAAATGACCACACGCCGCTCGCCAAGTCTCCAACAGAACCAAACCAGGCTTGCGCCCAGCACATGGAGCTTTCGACATCGATTTTGTCGAGAGCTGACCATTTGAGGTTGACGACGAAGCAGAGCGACTGTTGAATGTCGGCAAACAAGAGGTTCAAAATAAGGTAATAGAGTTGCAGCTGGACATCTCGTGGGCTTTTACGCCACTTGAAGAAGAGCTGATAAAAGAGAATGAGGAATAGCGAAGAAGAAGAAACGAGCGACAACAGGGCAAACGTGCCTACTACCGGAAGTCCATGAGAAAGCGTCTTTGGGAGCGGCGATAGAGTGGCGGCATCGTGAAGGGTCCCAGCCAGATTGCTGTCTCCGGTCATGGTCGTCGAGTCCCTACCATGGGGAAATGGAAATACAGGCAGCAAGGACTAAGAAAAGGAACGAATGTATATCCAGCTACTTCAAGAGGGGGCGGAAGGGTTCGAGTCATTGGGAAAACGTGCCGGCACCTCATGAGATTCTGACTGCAAAAATGTTCCCAACCAAGAAGACGGAAGGTTAAGCGCTTGACCCAGATTGGGCTGTAACGGCATTCCCTACCAGACAATGGAAGCTTGCTCGTTATCCCTCCTTGTGGAGCATGGAAGTGTCATGAAGCGGACGAAGCCGGCTCGGCACGTGCAATGTTAGAGAGATGACTATAGAAGTGCTCAGCCAAGCTCAGAGAAGCAACGACGTAGGAGCTTAGTGAGAGGCCTAAGGGAGGAGGAATACGCAAGGCCCTTCGACTTGAGCTCATATTTGCGGGTCGCTGGTATCATGGTCAATTCCGGGTTGAATTTAACTTTCGGCTTCAACACCACATGTGAGGCAAATCCAACGGCCTTCGCGCCGACTCGTAAACGGCGCGCTGACACAGTTGGCCATCGTCAGGTGTTTCCGGGTTATCCTGCCGTCTCATGGTCCGGAGCAGCATGAGCCGCGTTGTGTGAGGGTTGTTCATGTAATGGAGTTGGCGTGGTGTCGATGGAAGAAGGAGGTGACATGCTTTTCCGCTCTGGCGGAACCCCTCCTCTCGCTTCCCGTCCGCCGCCACGCGACGGTTGAACTTTTCCACCACCTTGGCAACCCTCCATTCCGCACTGTTTGCTGACTCAATCTAAAGGATAGAATCTCTTGGACTTTCTTGAATTGTTATCGACACCGCAAAGCGTGCGGTGGCATCACCGCCAAGACCTGTCGACCAAAAACAACGCACCATCGACAGGAAATTTGCGGTCCCGTCTCTCCACACAGGCATCGCTGATTACTCCGCTATAGTGGGCACATTGAGACATATCCTCCGTTCACGAACGCAGCAGGCTCGGGGAGATTCCACCTGGTTGCCTGTGCTCCCACCGTTTCACCTAAAAGCATCCGGTCCCTGAAGAACGAGCACAAAGCCCTGGAGCACACCGCTACAAGCGCACACATGGACACCTGACTAGTTGCCATTTCAGCCAGTCGACCCATCTACTAGTCGAGCAGAGGACAAGGATAATGACATCCGCCACGGCTTGAACAAAATTCTTGGATTGTTGACTGCGTGGCCATAGCGGACATAAATTGCAAGACCACTGGAGTTTACTAAAGGTCGCAAACTACGCCAAAAACAAGACACTGGGGCCTATCCGCTGCAAAAAGCGCCATGTGCATGTCGAGTCATGGAACAGTACGCGTTTCCGGGGGTTCGCGTGGGCACTCATCAAATTGACCCTCGATCCATGCCCGAGCGGCAGTATAGGCTGAGACAGACATGGCATCGTAGGGCTCGCTCAAGTTGACGGGCCGGAGCGGCCCTCGCCGTGACAATTTTCTCCACCATCGAAGTCGTCGACATTACAGGAGAGTGTGTGCCCACAGTCCTGCCAGCAACAATGTTCCAGTGTTCTGCTGCATTCTGACTACGCCGACCCCACCACTCGTTGACTGCTGCACGCCTATACCAAGCCGTCGAGCCTCTGCCAAGCAAACTTCGTTGGGCGCCCGCCTTCTCCAAGATCTGGTGCCGAGTCCGAGTGCCCGGCTAAGAATAAGACTCCCACGTGGCTTTGACATGCAGAGATCAACGTGCTTTTCGTTTTGCCGCTTGGCAGACCTCGTTTCTCTACATCCAAGTCGCCGACTTTTGAAAATGCCGACACGGTGGCGACATGGATTTCTGGCCGCCGCTGACTTGGCCTGGCTGGCAGATGCTCAGTAGCGGCGGAAATGGCCGCACAGCAACGAAATTGATGCCGGGCGATCATCGCCGCGCCTCGAGCCGGCGTTTGACTCCGGGGGAGTCCACTCTTTGGATGGGCAACAAGTGTCGGGACTTGGGAGATGGCTGTGAGGTGAGCTGGTGCGGCGTGACGAGCACTAACGACTCAGTAACGATGTAGTCTGTGCAACCGTCACTTGATCGACCTTTTTCCGGTGATCTAGACTGATAAATGAGCCGGAGCATTGCGAGAGCACCAGTAGAGGCTATTCGTCGAGTCATGCTACAGCTCTCGAAAATTGTTGCTGGAGCCACGCTCACTGGAC